TTCGTCAACCCAAATCATAATGCTAGTCTTCCCATTATCATAGGGCTCCCTAAAGAGACCAATGATAACAATCAAGACTGCTGGAATTTTCTACTGATCATTGAGAAGATGAGTGCCATTGGAACTCTCTTGCTGTTTTAACTCTGAAATGTGCATCTAGAAGGACCAAAAGAGGTTTGAGGGATCTGAGGAAAGCAGCAGAGGCTAGGCTGCTTTCTCAGGTAGAACACATATTTTTAGACATGTTATTTTTGCTTGTCAGTTTGTTGATTTTTCATGTCCAGTTCTTCGTTAGACTGAGTCACTCTGCTCATTTTCTCCTGCCTGTGTCCGGTTCCTCCACAGCTTTGCGGAGGTCCATTTCCTTTGTGTGGTTCACTTGAGCATTTCTCTGACTCATGTTTCGTCAGCACTTCTGCCATAATTATTCCATAGATTCAGTCCTCTCTCCACACTGAAGTTTTCTAGAATTATTTTCTTCACTTCCTACCTTTAACAAGATTTTTCTTTATAGCGAGATCAAAAGATGAATACTTTTCAACTAGGGTCGAAGTGCTGAAGCTGTTATGAATAGACTCATGGGGATAGCATAGAGGTGGTGATATCTGTGGATTGTCTTCAGCAATAGGAAGGAAGTAGACATTAGATTTGTCATTGAGCTCTGGCTCCTGGCTTTCACCTGTGTTGGGGCAATGGATGAGCCCAATGTCATGGTCATGGGTAACAGTCTGTTCTGGTTCAAATGTGTGTGTTTGGGGGGGGGGTAGATGCCTATTTTCTTGGTTGCAATTGTACTTAGTGACCCTTGCCATTATATTTAGAATACCTGTTAAATGGGTTATTCAGCTACAGAGGGCACTAATCCTGACATACAGATAATGGGAACTGCTTTTGAGAACTCTTAAGTGTTTTTTATTCTTTAAATGGGCTTAATTAACTTTTTCTTATATTATTACCCTATGTAGTAACCCCAAATAAAACCTGGGTCCTCTGCACAGAGAATCTAATGATTGAAGAGTTCCTGATGGGAGATTTGATGAACATGGCTGAGGTCAGACAGTCAGATTATTGTAGGCCTTGGAGGTGGCCTTGGTGAAGTTGTCTAGGGTGGTAATGAAGCCCCTGGCTGACATCTGGAAATCATCAATACCTGCCATCATCAACAGATTCTTGGGCACAGGAGCAGAGATGATGCCAGTTCATCTAAGGACAGAAATGAGATGCACCAACACAAAGCCACTAACTACATCCTGTCACCTATATGGAACAGTGTGGGGCTTCCGTCTTAGGGTTTTATTACCCTAAGAATAAAGAAGAATAAAGAAGAGACACCATGACCATGGCAACTCCTATAAAAGAAAACATTTAATTGAGGCTGGCTTACAGCTCAGAAATTTAGTCCATTATTGTCGCTGTGTGATGTGGGAGTCCCCTCTGTGTGCTGTGATTACCATTAATGAATAAAGAAACTGCCTTGACCTGTTGATAGGGCAGAACTTAAGTAGGCAAAGAAGATGGAAGCTGGAAAAAAAGAAGGGCAGAGAGAGATATGCCATGGAGCCTCCAGAGTCAGACATACTGAATCTTTCTGGGTAAGCCACTGCCACATGGCGATATACAGATTAATAGAAATAGGTTAAATTAATGTAAGAGTTTGCCAATAAAAAGCTAGAGCTAATGGGCCAAGCAGTGATTTAATTAATACAGTTTCTGTGTGATTATTTTGGGGTTAAGCTCACTGGGCGTCCAGGAACCAAACAAGCAACCTTCACCCAACAGTTGTGGGAAGCATGGTGCTGTAGATTTAACTGGGAGAACTACATCTGGATAGGCAGGCAGCAGAAAGAGAGAACGAGCCACTAGGTTTGTCTTGAACTTTTGAAACCTCAAACAAAGCATGCCCCCAGTGGCATACTTCCTTCAACAAGGACACACCTCCCAGTAGTGCCACTCTCTATGATCCTATGGAAGCCATTTTCATTCAAACCATCACAGTTTGATAATCTTGTTTCCTCAGTAGCCTCACCACACAAGGACAATGGGAAGTTTGGACAAGACGATGGCCCCTTGGATGGCAATGGCTACCTCCTTGGGTCAGTTAACACCAAGACAAACATGACCATTGTAGTGCTCAATGTTAACAAAAACCTTGAACCTCCTCTCCTGGTTAACCTGAGTCTGCCTCTGCACTGGCATGACTGGTCTTCAGACCCTCATCCTTAGTGGCTGCTTCCAGGAAAAAATCAATAATCTCAGACTCTTCAATGGGTTGGGAGAACAGCTAGAGCTCATCCAGGGACTTGGACTTGATTTTTTTTCTTGGTTGTGAGCCTAACCCTTAATGGTTGAGCCATCTCTCCAGCCCCCAGGGACTTGATTCTTATGTCCTTGACTAAGCTGCCATGCTTGGTGAAAGGAATCCACTCCTCTCTGGCTTTTCCTCTATGAGCTTTGTGACCTTAGCCTATTCTTAAAAGAAAATTCTTTGGCCTCCCAACCTGGGCTGCACAGGTCCTCCTGGCTTTCCTCCTACAATGGTATCACCTACCAACTCCCACCATTTGGTGTTTTCCTTGAGAATCAAGGGATTTTAAATTAATACCCCCCCCACACACACACCACAGACACAAACATGGCCTTGCTGTAGCTCTAGGTAACTTCAAAAGATCAATCACTGTGCCTCAGCCTGAGTTGTTCTGGGAATTACAGGTTTGTGACCGCATTCTCAACCGACCTGGTTCTACCCGCCCCATACCCAATTGATTTCTTTTAACTCCTGGGCTGATAGCTTGCCATTTCTTTCCACTGAATACTTTACTTACAAATATCCAAATTAAGTCAATTGTGCTAGTAATACACTTTTTTTAAATTAATTAATTTTACATTCTGACCAAAGCTTCCCAACTCCCTTCTGTCCTCCTACTCCCTCTCCCTCCCCTCCATCTCCTCCACAACCCATCCCTCCTGCATATTCCCCCAGAAAGGGGCAATCCTCCCACGGGCATCAGTAAAGCATGGCACATCCAGCAGCCATGAGACCAAGCACCTCCCCCTGTATTCAGGCTGAGGAAGGCAGCCCAGCATGAGGAATATGTTCCTAAAAGCCAAAGCATTAGGAACAGCCCCCACTTCCATTGACAGGAGTCCCACAAATAGACCAAGCTAAATAACCATCATATCTATGTAGAGGGTCTAGGCCAGTCCCATGCAGGCTCCTTCCTTGTTGGTTCAGACTCTGTGAGTTCCCATGCCAGGCTAGCATTTCTATGGGGTTTCCTGCTATGGTCCTGACCTCCCTGGCTCCTACAATCCCTCCTCCCTCTCCTCATAAGGACTCCCCGAGGTTGACCCAGTGTTTGACTGTGGGCCTCTCAATCTGCCTCCACCAGTCACTGGATGAAGGCTCTCCAATGATGACCTGGGTAATCACTATTCAGATCACAGGGGATGATGGCCAGTTCAGAATATGCATCCGCTGCTGCTAGGAGTCTTAGCTGGAGCCATTCTTGTGGCCTCTTGAAGTTTCCCTTGCATAAGGCTTCCACCTGACTCTGTAAAGATCCTCCACCCAGTCATCTCTCTTGGCATTCTCCCCCTCGGGCCACCCTCAACCTGATCCCTAAAATTCTTATCCCATTCATCCCCAGTCTAACCAGATCTCCTCTATTTAGTAATACCCTTTATAGCAAAAGAAAAAATATGGTTTTTTTTTGGGGGGGGGGAGGAAATTTCTTATACTTCTTGTCACCATTAATCTTTTTTTCTTTTTCCGAGACAGTCTCAGTACGCAACCTTGGTTGGCCTCGAGCTTGCAATGTAGAGGAGGCTGGCCTTGAACTCACAGAGATCTTTTCACCTCCACCTCCAGTCTTCATAAATCTCGACAAATTACCATCTTGCATTTGGCAGTTTTGAAGAGTGCAAGTCAGAAATTTTGTAGATTGTCCCTCAGTAATGGATATGCCTGCTGTTCCTACAATATCAAATTAATATGTATAACTTGGACATTAGCAATTCGAAAAAATTGATTAGTATGTTTCCTAGCACATCACTGGTAGTCCCAGGATGTCCATCTCTTCCTACTAGCTTGCCCACCTTGCCTACTTCCAGGCTATGCTCCTGTCTCAGGCTCCTGACTGTTGGAATTAAACCTGTGTAAGCCTGTGCCTGGTTTTCTTGCCATATTTCTGAAATAATTCAGTCTTTTTTTTTTCCAGTGTGAGTTCCAAACCAGAGCTTGTTGTAAGCTAGGTAAGTGCTGTGTACCTGAGCTACAGCTCCAACCCTTGCAAATTTATTTTCACCAACATAGGGTGATATCTTCTATATTTTCCTACAGTAATGTTTTCTCTTTGTAATAGCAAGTATTTTGTGGAGAGACTTTGAGCCTGCACCCAGTGTTTTTTTGTTGTACTAATGCTCCCTGGTTTGACAGCTAAAGTAAGGCGTTAGATTTTAAGGATCCTGTGTTTCCCAGGGCCAGCTTTCATCCATCACGCTAGCACGGTCCTCGGCATACCACGTATCGTGTTGCACTTTCCGTGATAATTTTCCATTAATAGTTTGTCGAGATATTTCTTATCTCATGTTCCTCTTTTCCAGAGGACCGCGCCGGGCACGACTTATAGTTCCAGTATCTTCAATGTGTAACAGACCGAGCGCTTGAAAATTTACGTGTTTGAATTAGTGGCTTGGGTTAGATATTACAGGAGATCATCAAGGCTACAAGAGGTCCGGGCCTGGCGTTTTTTATTTATTTGTTTAATTGTTTCTAAAGGGAAGTAAAACGCGATGACTGTTGAGGGCGCGGTCGGGCAGGTACCAGCGAAAGGGACCACCGGCATCTGCCACCTCTTTGTCAGCAAGGCCTGGGACTTCCGCTGGGTGGGGAGGTAGAAATCTAAAACCGAACTCCCAGCTTCCGTCACTCCCCGTGGGCGGCGCTCCCCTTTGACCCCTCGCTTGCTAGCCACACATCCGGGCTACTGTTACTAGCGAGGGGAAGATGGCGGCCGCAACTGTGCTGGTTCCCGCAGAGTGGATAAAGAACTGGGAGAAATCAGGGAGAGGCGAATTGTGAGTGTTCGGGCTGAGGGCGGGAGCCGGGCTAGCCGAGGCCGGGGCGTTGGCCACATTCGGAAGTGGGGTACAGGGGCCGGGGGTGGGGGGGGAAAGCGGTGCCCCCTCCCCCACCCGGGCGACGGTTGGGGGATGGTTGGTAAGGAGTTTCGAACTGCGGGAGGAGCGGAGCCCGTAGCCTCCGCCAAGCAGCTTCCCCGACCTCCCCGAAAGCCCCGCCGTCCACCGGAGCCCAGCTTCCTTTGGTCTCTAAGCAGAACTTCCGTCTTGGCCCCCCAGGTCCCCCTGTGCTCCTGCTCTGTGTCTTTTTTGTCTCTCTTTCGTTTTGCCTCGGCTCACTTGACTGCTTTTCTCTCCGTGGGTTCGCGCCCGGGACTGTTGGGTCCATAGTTGACATTTTTTCTCTCTGTCCCGTTTCATCACTCTGCACTCAAGGCGACTCCTGTAGTTTGTCGCCTGGCTTCTCCTATGCCCGAAGTCTTGGGAGGGCGAACTGTCCCGAACTCTCTCCAGTCCTAGCCGCCAGTGGCAGAAGAGCACGGGGCGTCAGGGACAGCCAGACTTGGCACCTCTGGTTTCTTGGGGAGCGCCAGCTTGTACTGTCCTGGCCCTGAGGTCCTTGGGGAAGTGTGGCAGGGATTGCTGCTTTTTGCCAAGTCCCTACCGGCATGTCACCTCCGAGTGGTTTCGAACTGGATTCAACTTTTCATCCTCAAATGTTGATGAAACCCCATTTTGGCCTGGAATTGTAGCTAATTCTGGTCGCCCTCGAAGCTTTTTTAGTACTTTAGAATGTTTTGTTACTTTTAAGTCGTAAAGTTAGTTTTGTAACCCTCTCCCGGTGACTGGCCACGGTAGAGGTTTTCTGTCCCCAGATAGCCAGCCACCCCCACTCCCCGTTTAAATAGCAAAATTAACCATTGATTTGAAAAGAAAAAAAAGTTCTGATTTCTTTTGATTCGCCTTGGAAATTTAGTAGCCAATCTTAAAGGAGATTAATTCTTGTTAGCTGTTTGGGTTGTCTCCCTCCACTCCCACACTCCCACACTCCAGTCCAGTGTCAGGTTCCCAGTAGCTAGCGGGAAGATAGGAATCTTTGAAACTTTGCAGTGCGGGATTTTACTCTTGTAAAAGGACTTACTCCCGCCGACAACTCCCTGTGCTGTTCCGTGAAACTTGGCAGTGGAAGTCCTAGAATTGGATTGTCGGAATAAGTGACTAGCTTAGTCCACTTAACTAGCTGAGTGACCTTGGTAAATTCTTAACCACTTCGACTGTTTCCCCTTGAGTAAATTGGGAATAATAAACACTCTACTGAAAGGATTGTTGTGAAGACTAAATGCCTGTAAAGCACTTGGCATATAGCAAGTGCTCAAGTGATAGCTATTACAAGAAATATTATTCCAGCTTTTAGATATTTAAACTTCTCAGGACAGCTCTTGCACTTTAGAGGCTCTACCTTTTTGGTTAGCAATTAATTTGGCCTCTGGCTTCACATGTGTTTGCTCTTGTTTGCTAATAAATTGAGAGGTTCTTGAAGAAAGGCGATGACATCTCTTAGTTCTTTTGGTTCAACATCTCCTCCAGCATATACTTACAGTGCCTTAGTGTTTTGTTAGCTCGCAGGTATAAGATAAGCTCTCATTTTTAATTTTTAAGTGTTATTTAACACATACCTATGCGGAGCCTCGAGTGCTGAGAAGGCAGGATGGGAAGCAACTCAACTCAACCATCCTATATTTGTGGGTTATCCTTCCCAAGCAAATAACCCAGTTCATCGGTATTTACTGTCCACAACCTATTTATTCATTTATGGACAGTCATGTTTGTGGGCTGCTCAGCTTGCTTCTAGGTGGATTTCACGTGTGTGTGTGTGTGTGTGTGTGTGTATTTGGTAGTAAGTGCTCCATCAGTGAGCTACATGCACAGGCCTAGCTGCTTTTTTTTTTAACAGTTTAATGTTTTTGCTTCCACCTTAAAATGAGTATTAGGAATAGGAGGAGTTCTGCCTGCTTTGCCTCTGACTGGCAATGGTTGGAGAAAAACCAAGTGATGTATGAAGTCAAGGCTACCTAGTTAAAATGGAATTTTGGGTTTACTGTACTTAGGATTTTCATGTGTGTATTTATTGCATAGCTTGTGGAATGTGGTTTAAATTATAGTAGATCCAAATCAGTGTGATCAGCTTAATGATTATATAAATAGATATAATTCCTTTTATATTAAGAGGACCTATCTCATTTTTGAGACAATGACCTTGTAGCCCATGCTGACCTTGAGTTTCTAATCCTCTTCTGGGTACTAAGATTAAAGGCATGTACCACTATACTAGCTGAGAATTTAGAGTTGGATGGCATAGCTGGGTGTGGTTGCTAACACCTGTAACCCTAGCACTTGGGAGGATGAGGGAGGAGTCCTGTAAGTTTGAGGTCAGCAGGGGCTACACAGTGAAACCTTTTCCCAAACAAAACAACAAAAGCCAAAAGAAAGTTAAAGCTTCATAGACTGGAGAAATGTCTCATGCGGTTAGGAGTGCTTATTGTGCATCTAGAGGACCTGAGTTCAATTTTCAAAATCCACATCTGATGGCTCACAGTTGCCTGGAACTCCAGCTCCATGGGATGTTACACCTCTGACCTCTTCAAGTACCTGTATTACACGCATACCCAAACACACATGCACACACATACACACAACTAAAAATAATCTATAAAAATCCAAAAGCTGAAACTGTATAATATAATGAATTATTTCAAGGTTTGCCTTACTTGTGGATGAACCTAGAGGCTTGTACATACTAGGTAGGTACTACTACTGAGCTATATCTTCAACCCTTTACAAAATTATTTATATTAGCACACAAAGCAATAGGTTTTTTTTTCATGACAGTTTCATACATATATCATACTTTAATTTGCTGACTTTTTCTCTACTACTTTTCTCTACCTGCCTCTTGCTGGTCACTTTTCTCCTCCTAACTAGTCCTGCCGTTTGCTTTTATGTCATGTATATTCCATTATCTACTCTTTTATTTCTTTTCAATTTGAGGCAAGGTCTCATTATGTAGCCATGGCTGGCCAGGAACTCACTTTGTAGACCAGGCTGATAAGTGCTGGGATTATAGGCATACACCACCATGGCTGACCTCCGTTACCGACTCTTAATCTAACCGTTTCTTTCTTTTAAGGTCTCTCCATCTCTCTTGTCTCTTATGACCTATGCACATCTATATGTACACTTAAAAACATGGTAATTTTCCTTAAAATAATACACGATTTCCTGTTTTATCTCTTTTCCTGCAAATTTCATTTTTCTTTATATCCAGCCTGTTTTGTATTTTCCCTTTTTTTTTTCAAAAATGGGGTTTCTCTGTGTAGCCCTGGCTGTCCTGGAACTAGCTATTTAGACCAGACTGGCCTCAAACTCAGAGAGAGCTCCTCCTGAATGCTGGGATTAAATGCGTGCACCACCACTGCCAGGTGGTTGCTGTTGCTGCGCCTCTTCCTTTTTTAAAAGACACTTTTTTTTGAGACAGGGTTTCTCTGTAGCTTTGGAGCCTGTCCTGGGACTAGCTCTTGTAGAGCAGCCTGGATTCAAACTCACAGAGATCCGCCTGCCTCTGCCTCCCGAGTGCTGGGATTAAAAGGTGTGCCAAGGTTTAATATCTCCCAGGCTGATTTGTAACTTTGAAGCCTTGAATTCATTATCTTGCTTCAGCCTCTTGTCTGTTGGGATCACAGGCACGTGCCACCATGCATAGCTGATAATTCATTAAAAAAAAGAACAACAAGTGCTTTCCAGTCCTGAAATTTTTCTTTTTAAAAGTGTTTTTTTTAAAGTGTTTTTTTTTTTCTGAGACAAGTCTCTTCTGTGTAACCCTGGCTGTCCTGGAACTCGATTTGTAGATATGATTTGTAGTAGACCAGGCTGGCCTTGAACTCAGAGATCTGCCTGCCCTTCTCCCAAGTGCTGGGATTAAAGGGGTGTGCCACCACACCCAGCTTTTTAAAGTATGTTTTTAAAAGTTGTGTTTCACGATTTAAAAGTTGTGTTTCACGAGATTGCCAAGTTTTTCTAATCTGTAGTATGATAGCAGTGTATAGCTATTTTGAGAGTTATATAGTGTCCATAGTGCTAAAAGCGGCATGATGCTGGAAATAAGTTCAGAACTAAAGCAATTTGCATAGCATGCTCAGAGTCCCTGGGTTTGATCCTCAGTACTGAAAAAAAGGAAAAACAAATCCCAAAGCAAAATAACAGTAACAACAAAATCCAACATAAACTGTATGGGGCATTGTTTTCTTAAATGAAATATTTCTTTTCTTTTTTTTTTTTTGAGACAGGGTAGCTTTGGAGCCTGTCCTGGAACTTATAGTAGACCAGGCTGGCCTGGAACTCAGAGAGATCTGCCTGCCTCTGTCTTTCAAGTGCTGGGAATATATTCCTTAATTTTTTATTCCTGGTACCATGACCACAATCTGCATGTAATGAAAAAGTGCTAAGGCAGAGACCTTAGGAGTGCACATCTAATTGACATTTTAGCATTTTCCCCCCAAAATGTTCCCTTGGCAGCCCTAAACAAAGGATTTCCTATTCAGACTGCAGTAGTAATTTCTGACTATAGATCATATTTGCTTCTGTCTCAGACTTTTAGACTTACTGTCTCAAAGTAACCTGCAGTTTCCCTGACAGCTCTCCAGCTAACAGCTATAACCCTTTTCTGGTGTCTTAAAACCTTTTACTGTGTCCACCACCACTGAGACTTCCAGAGCATTGAAAAAAATTGTTTTATTTTTTTGAGATTATAACGTCATTACATCATTTCCACTTCCTTTTCTTTCAAACCCTTCCATATAACTCGTCTTGCATTCTTTCAAATTCATAACTGTCAGAGCTTTTAAAGGAGGACAAATGTGTAACTAATGAAAACCAACTGTCTGTTCTATAGAATATCTTGGTTTTGAAGAATAAGCTTTGTTAGATAATAAAGCAGAAAA